CATGGTGAGTGTCGAACTTGCTCAAAGAAAACATGCTGAAGAACATGGTGATCAATCGGTGCGGTGATTCCGCCCAGGAGTCCTTCCCATTTATCAAGGAATTTCTCAAGCTGAGGCTCGCCAGACCCGGCAGCTCTGCCGAGGGATAGGCGAAGAAGTTCATTCGTACGGATAGACTGGCTCCCGACTTCATCGGGACGAAGGTACTCAATGAGACAGAACAGGATCTGGCGGCTTTTCAGCCTCGTCCCCCTTTTCACCTGAGCCTCTTCAGTCAGCCTGCTGATCTTGGCAACAATAGGTTTCGATGTGATGCACTTTCTCAGTGCAGCATTGAACCTATTGTCAAGGATCGGGTAGAGACACTCCTCATCAAGTTCCTCTATTGCGCTGGCGTTCTCGACACTCATGACCCAAGACATGGCATATGGCGAGTCATAGCTGAATGCGTTGCTCACGATTTCTCTCGTGGAAATGATCCAGTCTCGCAACTCATGCGGTGCGGGCTCTTTTTCGAGCTCTATGTTGGCGCACTTGTTCGCCTCAGATGGCAACGAAGTTAAGGGCGGTCGAGTAGCCTGCCCAAAAACATGGGGAGGTAAAACGCCGTCTCTGCCAATGGATATGGCACACAGAGAGCAACTCCCGGACGATGGCGGGCAGCACGCGGCGCATAGAGAAGTGCGGCACAACGAACAAGTTTGAAAGCATGGAGGTGTCCCGGGGATGCTGGTCTTGACATTTATGTTGCACCGAGGGCAGACCCTCTCCTCAGCGGAAGATCGGCGAATATCGGGAGCTCCAATACCGCCGACGCCACCGACGCCATGCACACCCTTACCGAGTCCTGGTGGAAGAGAAAAACCAGTTGGCCCGCCAGAGTTATCCTGTGCTCCGTGGTGAGGCTGTGGATTCTGCTGATTTGTCACAGCAGCGTCAGGTCCGTATCTCCCGCGAATGACTCCCTGAGACGTTCCATGCTCAACTTGACCGGTGAAAATCCCCCCTGTAGGGGAACATCCGGGGTACGTGTTGATGGTCCCCCTCGGAACTGCTCGTCCGACTACGGGCGAAGACATTGCCCTTGGTGGCATTGGCCCGGCAGCTCCGGCGTGGGAACAGAAACCAGAATTCCCTTGGTGCGGTTCAGGACTCCGATGTGACGGATCTCCACGTGATGGCCCGGATCCAGGATCAGGAGCAGTGCCATCCCGCTGATTATGATCAGGAATGCAATCAGGTCCTCCAGGCCCCGCACTGGGGCCGCGATGCTTAGTTTTCCCGTCGGGATCAGCTCTCAGACAACCGAGGCAAATAGGTCGAACACTCGACCCAAAACGACGCACATCGTCAGGCGAAGCGATGTGTTGATCGCAGTACTCGTCCTTGCATATGAGACACCTCACAAGTCCGTGTCTCCCCCCTCTTCCTCTGCATGCGCGGCATCTAGGAAACTGATCGCTGCACTTGAAACACGAGTTACAATCATGGTCAAAGCAGTCTTCGCAGACTGACTTGCCGCAGCTTCGGCATGGATAGCGAGGTTCCCGATGCTGTGGATGCCCGGCTCTTCATGAGCACACCTGGCCCGGTTATCAGGGGCAGCGCCGGCAGCCCGAGCAATGGCCCTCGTTCTAGAGGGATCCCTGCCGAAGATGGGGGCTGATGGTGACGGTGGGGGTGGCCCCGAAGGAGGTGGAGGCGGAGGAGATCTCGCCGAGCTGACGGTGCGAACATCACGAGGAGGAGAACCTCTAGGAGTCCTTCCCTGGGTTAAGGGATTAGTGTCTCCAGATTTTTCCCATGATCCCGTTCCGGCGGTCGAAGCAGCGCCAGCATTTGAAGATCCGCAGGCAGCGGGAGGTTGTTCCCTTATCTCAGCGATCTGCATGTTGATCTCATTGACCCTCAGCACAAGCTTCATAAACTGCTCTTGCATGTCCCTCGGATTGGGCCTAAGCTTTTGTCATGAAGGTCCTTGACGCACCTAGCAATACGGGACAATTGAAGCTTGAACTCCTCCTGTTTCTGTGAGTTCTCATTGAGGGCTCCGGACACCCTATCACTGAACTGCTTCAGGTCGGTCGCAGGAACGAGATGCTGAATATACGTCTCGACGTTCCCACGGATGGTTCTTTCCCTTGATATGGTTCCCTCAATGTCGATGACACTGCGAGAGTTCGCCTCAACTTCGTCTTTGATTTTCCGAACTTCAGCCTCAAGGGCCCCGATCTCAGAGAACCTAAGGAGCTGGACCTTGACGTTCTCAAGTGATTCGGCCTGCTCGCGAAGTCCAGCAGCAGATATGACGATCGAGTCAGATCTCTCATCATACATCTTGAAACGCTCATTCATCTCCTTCTCGCTTCGGGCGACCCACTCGTGGAAATCACGGAACTTAGCCTCGTGTTTTGAGAGAGTTCCAGCAACGGCAGAGAAAGATGATTCAACCTTCTTCTCGAAGGCGTCAACACGGTTATTGATCTTCTTGATCTCACCGACGCAAGCGTTGATATCATCCCTACATGAACGAATCTCAGTTCTGCACCCCTGGATTTCGGCCTTGCACCCCTTGACCTCGTTGTGGATCGCGAGAAGCAGTCGTTGAAGCTCAGATGCAACAGGATGGCCGCCACTTGTGGAGGCAGACGGAGCAGGACGGCTATCAGCGTCATGATCTCCGCGACTATTTTCTTCCCTGTCAGGAGTGCAGCCCGGAGTTCCGATTTGAAAGAATGCGGGAACGAGGGAGTCGTTAACCGGTTGATTCGAAGGAAGCCCTCCATATCCAGGGGCAACAGCGCTAAGTCCAGGCCTCCGGTTCCTAGGCGTAGAGTTAATCCCGTCATCAGTCTCCTTCTCGGACATCGGGGCATTGGAGCTGAGCCCAGACCCCGCAGAGTGGATAGGAACGTCAATAGGGTCGTGATGAGCTGGGGGATTAGATCGCAGTCGGAGAGCAGCTTCACGTCTCTCGGGTGACTCAGAGCTCCTCTTTGTGGCTCGTGAGTCAGTGCCGGTTTGTCCCGACACATTATCAAATGATGATGATCCGCGAAGTTGAGCTTGATCTGGATTAGGCTGAGTAAGATCAAGCCGTTGAGCAACGTCACCATTGAGTGGCTTAGGGGAAAGTACTTTGGCAACGCGGCTCGGCGGGAGCGATGTAGTTCGTCTCTCTGGTGTGACCTCGGCCTCATCGATTACATCAAGGATCCCAGGAATGGTTTCATCATCTTCATTTCCTCTCCTGGGTGGCTGATGGAAGGGGATGTCGAGGAGGTCAAATGGAGTAGAGCCAATACCAGGTGTATCCTGCTCGGATCCATCGCTGGTACGGTGGCTGGACTGCTCCTCGAGGTCGATGACGTCGGGGGCGGACTCTTTTCGAGTCTGATGCCGATTGAACGCCGCGAAGAGACCGGCATGGCTTCTTGACGAAGAGGAGGAAGGATTTGGGCCTGCTGTTTCGCGGCCCACATCCGATCGATTAGTACCTGATGTCCGATTTGGCGGATTTGAGCCTGCGTTGTAGCGGTTCGCATCCCGGCCTCGGGTACCTGAGGAAAGCGGTGGATTCGGACCAGCGTTGTAGCGGTCCGCATTCCGGTCGCGGGTACCTGACAGGTGAGATGATACTGCATCAGGGATGAAGTCCATATCCGCCGGACTGGGGTGATCGTGAATGATGTCAATGTCGGATGAACCTGAGACGGGAGGAGGGCCAGCTATTTGCGGCCAATCCTCAATCGCCCGTTTGCCCACCTCGGGTTGGGCCGAACCTGCAACATGAGAAGGGGAGAAATCTTCAATGGGGTCATTTTCTCCATCATGAGGAGGCTCATGCGAAGGCAGGGCATCAAAGGATCTGTCAATTCGGGAAGGCTGAGACCTCCAATCAGCATCAAAAAGGGATTGAAAATCCAGATTCCCAACCGAAACGGGGGCACCCGAGTTAAAGTCGAGCCGACCGAAATCAGGCGGTGTAGCCTGCGATCCACTGCCGAGGAGTTGGTCAAACTGATCCCATGTAAGGGACCATGATTGAGCCGGCTCCGGATGAGCAGCATGATGGACAGCCCGGTCCTCGATCTGGAGCGCCACGAACGGAACAGTAGGCGAAATCGATGAGGGCACCTGATTTGGAGGAACCTCAGCCTCTTCTAGAGGGGGTCCGTCCTCGATCTGGAGCACTGCCGCCGGGATAGGGGCCTCCGCATCCTCATCAAACACAACCTGAGAAAGGATCCAATCGTCCGTGATCACCCCGGGATTGGGCTCTGCGCCCACCATCGGGGGAATGGGCCACAGCCGGCTGTCTAAGCCGGGGGCAGCAGGCGCGGCGTTGCCGCGAAGGGCGTTGGCCTCGTCGTCCACGAAGCCCGGCCCACGATGAGAAGCTCCGGGGGACGCCATTGCTCGTACAAGTAGGCGATGGGAGCAGGTAGCGGGTCACGTCCCGCAACCGGATCACCAGCCCCAGCTTCTAGCTGGTACGGCTGATAACCTGCGGTTTTGGGCGAACACGAAGTAGCCCAGGGAATCAAAGAGGTACACGTGGTTCACGAAGTACCAAAAGAACCCAGTCCCAAAGCACAATGTAGAGGGTGCCGGTGACCAGATTGTGGGAGTGACAGTTAATGAAGATCAAGTTTGGGGAGGTTAGGAAACTGGTAGAAGAAGGTAAAGACAAGGGTCGGGCCCGGGAGCACCTCGGCGACCTGCCGCCCACCTCCTAGTGCCGAACAGCTGGAACACCACGGACCTTTTCCGCGATGGCGCAGCCAATCGCCGCACTATGGCGAACGCACGCAAATCCAAGGAAGTCCCGACGGGGGATCCAAATCTTGAGCCAAACGGCCATTCGGCCGTTTTGCCACATGATGAAACAACACGTGAACAAAACACAATTTTGACTTGAAGTTCTGAGCGAACAAGTGGTGCGGTAGCAGCCATGGTCTCAGTGGCGACAATCAACCTATGCCAACTTTGGTCCCTGCCATGATCCGAGACATTTTCACCGGAGCATAGATGCCTCGACTCAATAGAAGCAGCTCCGTTCACTGGGTCCAAACGCCATGCAATTTTCACACCTGAGAGCTGGGCACACGAGAAGCGAAAACGGATACATCACCTGCTGGAATGAAATGCAACGCGAACCGCATGGAGATTTCAAACAGGGCAGAGGCGCAATCATAAAGGCCCCTGCTTGGAAAACGGACCACAGCATGACCTCGGTTAGGAATTGTGCCCATGTTCGACGTTGCAAATACCCTTCCAGGTCCCAACAGGAGAAACAAAAAACACTTTCTTCAAACATGCAAACGCCCTCAGCCACAGGCCAGCACGGCGAGAAAGCACCGGTTTTGCGACCAAATGTGCCGCGTGCGCTGTCGGCCTCTGACGCCTCAGTCTGTTTCATCGCCTTCTGCTTCAGTGTATGAGGGAGAAAAACAAAAAAACACAAAAAAACAGGGAGGCAAGGCCCATCTTCGATACAAAGCGATACTGCTTCAAATATCTTATGACAAGCACCCCCCATGCACATGGTTGCATTGACCGGTGCAACTGAGGCCATAGCAGGTCAAACAGTCCCATAAGCACGGGGTGGCATACTTCATGTTTGGAATTGACCTGAACCATGGCTTGAGATACCGCAACAAAGTCATCTTAACGTTTTCGTTGCCAAGCCCTCAGCAGAATGTAAGGTCGCTGATTCTCTTCCAGCAGCGCCAAGTCCTTCCATCATGACATGCTCAGATGACACGTTGGAGGTCTTCACACCCAGCCAGTGGGCGCAACCCAGCAATTCAGTGCATATTTTGGAAGACTTCCGAAAAGCCAGCCCTTGCTTCTGCCCAGTCATGAATGAGGATGGACAAGCTGAGCAAGGAGGTGAGGATCAGAAAAAGAATGCTCCAAAGCCTGAAGGGATGCACACCTCAGCCACGTTGGCTTTACCATGCGCTTTCCCGCAGCACCCCTGCTTCAACCACTTCGTTTATTCGCAAGCCCTCATGCGACAAAGGGCCCAGCCCACGTTCACAGTGTGGAGGCTGCCCAGGTCGCCGGAGATTGCGCGCAAGGGCAGCCGCGGATTTCGGCCTTTGCGTTCAGGGCACAAGAACGTCCTGCGGCCTGGCAGCACGAAGTTGTACAGCTGAGGCCGCCGACATGTTTGACCTGAACGAGCGCGAGCCAAAAACTAGCAAGGCCATCAAGTCAAAGCAACATACTGCCTGTAACACCTCGGCGAACTTATGAGGTAGTAAGGCCAGCACCCTGCAGCGAATCAGGAAGCTTGGGGCACGGAGTAGTCAGATTCAGACCTGGCCAAAGGCTGCCACGATGCCCACTCTGAGGCAGGGTGCGCAGCAGTTTGCGTCAGCAACAGTGTCACTCCAATTCAGTATTGCAAGTGCGACTTCCAAAAACCAATGGCATCTTGCAATCCTGGCACACCAATGCATTGCGGCGTTTTAAGCGGCGCGCATCTCGTTTGGGGCATACGACCCAATCTGTCCTACAGGATCCTACAGGCGCTGTGAAACTGATGCTGCAACATTGGCATCTTACTTACGTGAGCCTGGGCCCCGGCTTTCATTGAAAGCGAGGGTGCTCAAACGTGAAGTGCACAAAGGCCGGCTTTCTGCCAATTTCGTCAAGACCTAAGATCATTTGCACCGTGCAAGTCCACGAGTCTAAGAGCCAATTCCTATGGCCGGTGAGACAAGCGCATGCTTGTGCATGCTGCCCTTCCAGCCCTAGCTTTAGACTTTGTCACGACTGAAGTCACTTCCAATCCAAACACTTCAAGTGCAAGCACACATTGCGGGCCTAGAATGGCTGCAAAAGCATCACCTACCCTATTTCCCAAGTACCCCGCCGCCACTCAGCAGCTTTCCTGCAACGGCGCATTCAGATCCAACATCAACTTTGAAACAAAAAACACATTGGCACACGTCTTGCCCGCCTAGCGACCTGAGATCCATAGGCATAGGTGCCGCAGACTTCTTTGATGGCCTGGCTGTCCGCTATTCATGGAAAACCAGTGGACATTTGCACAGCCATCGTCAAACCACATCTCACAACAGGAGCTCAAGTAGACCTGTTTCTGCGAGGGCTGCGGGGTGGTGCGGGCACTAAAAGGAGCACCGCATGCTGTTGGGGATATCACTTGAGCTTATTCTTCTATAAATCTACATCTGTCTATCTATCTAAACGGGCCATTGGCAGCCTGGATCTGGCACTGGCATGTTCCGGAATGGAAGTGGGCGCAGCCCTCGGTGCGCTGGGTGGTTCGTAGTGCTGCCGCGGCGTGGCCATCACGGTGCCCACTCCGCGGATGTGCGTCTCGGTCTCCTGGGAGCCTGCCATGCGAACTTGGCGCCTCAAGAAATAGAGAATCAACTTCCGCCTCCGCTGGGCATCCCCTGGATACGGAAGTTTGGAACCTTGAAGGGCACAGGAGGGTCCTGCGCAAGCAGCCGCTTGGTTCAAAAATCTAGTTCACCAAGCTTTTCATCGAGAAGCCAGGACCTAGTATGACCTAGTCGATCCCTGGTGGAAGTCCTTCTGCACTGGGCGGTTGCGCAGTTCCTCCAGCTCGGCTTCCCTTGCTTCTAGTTGCGCTTGCAAGTCCTGCGCAGTCTTCAGGCAACACGATGTTCATGTTTGAACCCAAACTGGAAAGTTCAGCCGCTGAAACATGACAAGATGCGTGCCCCTGGGCCCCGAAGGCTACCTACATTACCAGCACACGTGTGCAGCCACTGGCAAGGAAGCAAAGTTCGAAGGGCTGTTGTCAGCCCTTCAAGCCGCTCAACTTGTCAAACCAAGGATTGTCGGACACTTTGGGACCGAACCTTAAACGCGCGCCCTTGAACTTGAACATCCTCAAAACTGGTTCCCACCATATAAGCTTGCCTAGCTTGGGAACCGAGTCGGCTCGGCACTCAAAAATGGCCATAGTTTTCACTTATTTCTGACCATACGCATTTTGCTTATATTTGTCCATCAACTTCCCTTATTTATGACCATGGAATTCACTTACTTGTGACCAGGCGACCAAAGTATGCTTCAAGCACCAGGAGAAAGTGCCACGCTGCCATCACTTCCCTTATTTATGACCATGGAATTCACTTACTTGTGACCAGGCGACCAAAGTATGCTTCAAGCACCAGGAGAAAGTGCCACGCTGCCATCGCTAGTCAGTCAGGTGTCTATGACCGGGAAGGTGTCGAGCAATGACCGTGAAGGCTGCGGGGAAAGACCGGGAAGGCCTCAAGGAAGCAGCCAAGACTGGGAAGACCCTGGAGAAGACAGGGAAGGCGTCGAGCAATGACCGGGCAGGCGTCGAGCAAAGGAAGGCTGCGGGGAACTGACACACAGCTCGGGAAGCCAAGGGGGTTGGTGCCAGTCCCATTTGACTTTGGCGATGTCGATGGCCGGTCGTCCATCGACGCAAGCTGCCTACAAGGAAAAGTCATGACACGTACGAAATCGACAGTGCATCAGCCCCAAACTGTCGATGGCCGGTCGTCCGTCGACAATACCTATCTACCGGGAAGACATCGAGCAATGACGGGGAAGGCTGCGGGGAAAGATTGAGAGCCGCAGGGGAAGACCAATGACCGGAAGGCTGGGAAAGACCGGGAAGGCTGCGGGGAAAGAGCGGGAAGGCGTCGAGCAATGACCGGGCAGGCGTCGAGCAAAGACCGGGAAGGCCCCGGGAGAAGACCGGGAAGACATCGAGCAATGACCGGGAAGGCTGCGGGGAAAGACCGGGAGGGCAGCGGGGAAAGACCGGGAAGGCTGCGGGGAAAGACCGGGAAGGTGTCGAGCAATGACCGAAAAGGCGTCGAGCAAAGACCGGGAAGGCCCCGGGAGAAGACTGGGAAGGCTGTGGGGAAAGACCGGAAAGGCGTCGGGCAGGCGTCGAGCAAAGACCGGGAAGGCCTTGGGAGCCGGGAAGGCGTCGAGCAATGACACGGAAGGAGTCGAGCATAGACCGGGAAGGCTCCGTTAAAGACCGGGAAGACATCGAGCAATTACCGGGAAAAGTGCGGAGGGAAAGACCAATGACCGGGAAGGCTGGGAAAGACCGGGAAGGCTGCGGCGAAAGAGCGGGAAGGCGTCGAGCAATGACCGGGCAGGCGTCGAGCAAAGACCGGGAAGGCCCCGGGAGAAGACCGGGAAGACATCGAGCAATGACCGGCAAGGCTGCGGGGAAAGACCGGGAGGGCAGCGGGGAAAGACCGGGAAGGCTGCGGGGAAAGACCGGGAAGGTGTCGAGCAATGACCGGGAAGGCGTCGAGCAAAGACCGGGAAGGCGTCGAGCAATGACCGGGAAGGCGCCGAGCAAACACCGGGAAGGCCCCGGGAGAAGACAGGGAAGGCGTCGAGGAAGGACCGGGAAGGCGTCGAGGAAAGACCGGGAAGGCCCGGGGAGAAGACCGGGAAGGCGTCGAGCAATGACCAGGAAGGCGTCGAGCAATGACCGTGAAGGCAGGAAGGGGAAAGACCGGGAAGGCGTCGAGGAAGGACCGGGAAGGCCCCGGGAGAAGACCGGGAAGGTGTCGAGCAATGACCGGGAAGGCTGCGGGGAAAGACCGGGAAGACCGGGAAGGCGTCCAGCAAAGACCGGGAAAACATCGAGCAAAGACCAGGAGGGCGTCGGGAGAAGACCGGAAAGGCGTCGAGCAATGACCGGGCAGGCGTCGAGCAAAGGAAGGCTGCGGGGAAAGACCGGAAAGGCGGCGAGCAATGACCGGGCAGGCGTCGAACAAAGACCGGGAGAAGACCGGGAAGGCGTCGAGCAATGACCGGCAGGGGGTCGAACAAAGATCGGGAAGAAAGACCGGGAGGGCTGCGGGGAAAGACCGGGAAGGCTGCGGGGAAAGACCGGGAAGGTGTCGAGCAATAACCGGAAGGTTCCGGGAGAAGACCGGGAAGGCATCGAGGAAGGACCGGGAAGGCGTCGAGGGAAAACCGGGAAGGCTCCGGGAGAAGCCAGGAAGGACCGGGAAGGCCCCGAGCAAAGACCGGGAAGGCCCCCGGAGAAGACCGGGAAGGCGTCGAGCAATGACCGGGAAGGGGTCGAACAAAGACCGGGAAGAAAGACCGGGAGGGCTGCGGGGAAAGACCGGGAAGGCTGCGGGGAAAGACCGGGAAGGTGTCGAGCAATGACCGGAAGGTTCCGGGAGAAGACCGGGAAGGCGTCGAGGAAGGACCGGGAAGGCGTCGCGCGAAGACCGGGAAGGCCCCGAGGGAAGACCGGAAAGGCCCCGAGGAGAAGACAAAGAAGGCGTCCAGAAGGACCGGGAAGGCGTCGAGGAAACCGGGAAGGCCCCGGGAGCATACCGGGATGGCGTCGAGCAATGACCGGGAAGGTGTCGAGCAATGACCGTGAAGACGTCGAGCAATGAGGCGTCGAGGAGAAGACCGGGAAGGCGTCAAAAAAAGACCGGGAAGGACCCGGGAGAGGACCGGGGAAGGCGTCGAGCAATGACCGGGAAGGCGTCGGGGAGAAGACCGGGAAGGCGTCGAGGGAAGACTGGGGAGGACCCGAAAAAAAAACCGGGGAAGGCGTCGAGCAATGACCGGGAAGGCGTCGAGCAATGACCGTGAAGTCTGCGGAAAAAAGACCGGGAAGGCGTCGAGGAAGGACCGGGAAGAAGACCGGGAAGGTGTCGAGCAATGACCGGGAAGGCTGCGGGGAAAGAACGGCTGAGGGGGAAAGACTTAAGGCGTCGAGCAAAGACCGGGAAGGCGTCGAGCAAAGACCGGGAAGGCCCCGGGAGAAGACCGGGAAGACGTCGAGCAAGGACCGGGAAGGCGTCGAACAAAGACCGGGAAGGCCCCGGGAGAAGACCGGGAAGGCGTCGAGCAATGACCGGGAAGGGGTCGAACAAAGACCGGGAAGAAAGACCGGGGGGCTGCGGGGAAAGACCGGGAAGGCTGCGGGGAGCAAAGACTGGGCAGGCTGCGGGGAAAGACCGGAAAGGCGTCGAGCAATGACCGGGCAGGGAAGGCGCCGGGAGAAGACCGCAATGATCGGAAAGGGGTCGAACAAAGACCGGGAAGAAAGACCGGGAGGGCTGCAGGGAAAGACCGGGAAGGGCAGGCGTCGAACAAAGACCGGGAAGGTCCCGGGAGAAGACCGGGAAGGCGTCGAGCAATGACCGGCAAGGGGTCGAACAAAGACCGGGAAGAAAGACCGGGAGGGCTGCGGGGAAAGACCGGGAAGGCTGCGGGGAGAGACCGGGATGGTGTCGAGCAATAACCGGAAGGTTCCGGGAGAAGACCGGGAAGGCGTCGAGGAGGGACC